GTGAGAAGTTTTCCCCCACCCGGGCCGCCACCCCCAGCCCCCAACGCCCCCAGGGCAGGGGCCCTCCCCGCTTCAGCTGCCGTGTCAGGCTGTGCAGAGGCACTGTGGTGTCTGGGGGACTGGTCCTGGGACAGGAATCCCACCGGTCCCAGACCGTGCCTGGCCTCTCCCGGGCCCTGGTGCCACGCAGCCCCTGGTGGGAGGCCTGTAGGGTGGAAAGGCCAGTAGCGCAGGGCTCTGGGGTCTGGGCAGCCCTGGCCGCCGCGCTGTGCCCTCGTGGCCTTGGGGCGTTTTGTCACATAAGAGTATCCTGGAAATAAATCTGCATCAGCCGAGCCGGGCCTGCGTCTGGTGTGTGTGCCCGTCACGAGCGCAGGTGTCCAGCCATCCTGTCCCAGGAGGGGCCCCAGAGCACACTGGCTGGGTGGTGGAGCCAGAACCAGCCTGAGCCTGCTCTGGCCGTTGAGGCTTGTGCGCCTGAGCAGCAGTGCTGACGGCGGACCCTGCCAGGACTCCTGCTCAGAGTGGACCCCGGTCCCCGAGGCCCAGACATCCTGCAACCACCTTTCTTTAAGTCAGAGTTTCAATCTGTCTCCCCCGGGCTGGAGTGCAGTTCATGGCTCACCGCAGCCGTGACCTCCTGAGCTCAAGCTGTCCTCCTGCCTCAGCCTCCCGAGTAGCTGGGACTACAACCGTCTCCATGCCCAGCTGATGTTTTATTTTTTATTTATCATAAGGTCTCACTCTGTTGCCCAGGCTGGCTGCAAACTCCTGGCTCAAGCGGTCCTCCCTCCTCAGCCTCCCAAGTTGCTATGGTGACAGGCATGAGCCACCGCACCTCGCATGCTTCAGTCTTAAATTGGCTTGGTTTCCTTATGTTCCACCTTTTTCACTGGAACAAGGAAACTTGCAGAAAATGGAAAACCAGCATCACAGGCCCTAAAAATAAGCAAGTGTCAGAGTGGCTGGGGCAAAACCGAGAGCTTCCGAGAGTGCCTGGCGGGAAGACACAGCAGGAGGTGGCCTGTGGGTGGTGGAGGCCCATCTGCGAGGACACTGGGGGTTGGGGGTGGGTCTGTGGGTCCACGGGGCAGCCTGCCACCATGGGGACGCGGCAGCTTGGGGACCAGACAGCCAGAAGCCAGTGAACGGGCCGAGTTGTGTCCTTGAGTTCACGTGTTGCTGTCCTGACCCCAGGACCTCGGAGCATGACCTCATCTGGACATAGTCTTTGCAGATGGAATTGTTAGACCAAGGCTGTCGGGGGCCCTGAGTCCTCTTAAATGGCATCTTTATCTTTTTATTTATTTATTTATTTATTTTTTACTTTTTGAGTCGGAGTCTCACTCTGTCGCCCAGACTGGAGGGCAGTGGCCGCTCCCGGCCACCGCAGCC